AAACAATCTGATTAGAGGTCACCATCTAAATAGTTGATCTAAATACTTGATGTAAAAGTGATAATAGCTTCGAGAAATGTAAATAGGGAAAACAAATAATCTGATTAGAGGTCACCGGCGACCGGCGACTACCGACYGGCGACCAGCAACCGGCAACCCCACGAATAAGTACGACCGGAGACATTACCTGATGGAGGGTCGAGAAGCTTCTGCGCGTCACCGTCACTGAAAACAGAGGCGTGGGCGATGGATGTCACCGGGCGATGGAGGTCACCGGCGATGGAGGTCACCGGCGATGGAGATGTGGAAGATGGAGGTCACCGGCTGATTTTCCCTTGGAGACGATGATGTAGCATTTCCTGTGGTAGGCCGATGTGGAAGAGTAGAGAAGGAGAGAATGGGGCGGTAGGTGTGGAGAAGGGTATAGAGGTCAAAATAATAATCTGAATGGTTTAGCATGGATTCAACCTCAAAATGGTTAAGAGGTTTGAGTAACCATTAAGAGGCTTTTATTTTTTTGCCAAACATGTCTCACCTCTGACCGATTCAGAGGTGCCCTCTTAATGTCACCATTAAGAGGGAAACAAACAGCCCCTAAGTCTTTGCAGGTCATCTCTGAATCCATTGTTTCTTGTGGATGAATTTATGCTGTAATTGTAAAGAAGTGATTTTCGTTGAAGAACTGGATCCATTTATCTACCTGAAAATGCAAAATAATTCTTCTTTTTTGACTTTTTATTATAATATTTTAGGACTCATTTACATCTAGATTATAAATGTTTGGAATCCATATTATGTAAGGAGACATTGCTTTTGCTAATTCGAATTGAAGGGTGATATAAAGTTGGTCTTCCTATTTAGCCAGCATATCCATAGTTAGCACATTCATGCTAATTAGCAGTTCCAGCTCCAGGATATAGTCACTAGCACCAATATCGTAACTAACACCAATATTGTCAATCTCATCAATATCGATATCATCAAAACCTTTAGACTTGTTAAAAGGGCGTTTCTTGAAAAATAAATTTCAAACATGAAAGCAGATCTGACCTATTAAGTAGGGAGTGATTGATTGAAGTCCATTGGTGTGTTTCTGTTTCTTGCTTATTTATAGCATTATCTTCGTATTTGTGGTTCTGATTTCTCATTTTGACAGAAATTAGACGAGATGAAAGCAATAAGATTCAAGAAACCCAGAGACCCATCGTTCGTCACCTCTCGTTTTCTGGGAAACTGTAATCAAGATCATGGATGTCGAAATTCCCAAATATTCAATCGTATGTTTTGTAGTTGCAGGTTATATTCGTCTTCAGGGCCACCGGACCCATCTTTTTCCCCCATATCTGGTGCTTCTTCATCCAAAGCTCAACGTCGACATGATGACGGTGTGTCCGCCATTGACGCCGGATCTTCATTGCGCAAGCCTGTTAGCTTTTGGCCTGGCATCTACCATTCACCGGTGACGAATGCTCTTTGGCAAGCGAGATCCACCATTTTCGGCAGCAGCACCCCATCCGATGTCGTCGACTCCATCACCCCTAAAACTCCATCTCTGAGCAGGACTTCGATTCTGTACCCATTTTCGACTGATTACATTCTGAGAGAACAGTACAGAAATCCCTGGAACGGGATTCGCATGGGTAAATTGCTGGAAGACCTTGATGCTCTCGCTGGTACTATCTCCTTCAAAGTATGCGCTGTATCCCCTCTTACATGTTTTAAAAATAAGGATTGTCGTATAAACATCATAACATTTTGTTTTGTTGAATCAGCACTGCATCAATCATGCGAGTATGGCCGATTCATTGTTACTAGTGACTGCTTCTGTCGACAAAATAGTTCTTAAAAACCCCATTTTTGCCGACACTGATTTGAAGATAGAAGGAGCTGTTACTTGGGTTGGTCGTTCGTCTATGGAGATTCTGCTAGAAGTCATCCAAGGTACAATCGACTAGCTATCTCTACTATGTTATAAAACTTTTCAAATAGCTCCTATAAGATGTCATATTTCTAGTTTTGTAGGTGGAACTAAATTTGTAATGATTAATATTTGTAAATCTGCAGAAACATGTGATCATGTGGACTCACAAGCTCTAGTTGCCAACTTCACTTTTGTGGGCCGTGATTCTAAAACGGGCAAATCAGCATCCATCAACCCAATCTCCCCAGAAACTGCAAAAGAGAAAATGCTTTGGCAAGAAGCAGAAGAGAGGAATGCATCCAGGAAAAAGAGAAGGACGCAGATGAAGAATATTGAGAGCGGAAAGGAAGTCGAGAGGCTGAACGCGCTGCTGGCTGAAGGACGTGTTTTCATTGATATGCCGGCTTTGGCAGATAGAGATAGTATTCTTATAAAGGATACACGCTTACAAAACTCGTTGGTATGCCAGCCGCAGCAAAGGAACACCCATGGTCGGATTTTTGGAGGGTTTCTGATGCGAAGAGCTTTTGAGCTGGCTTTTGGAACCGCTTATGCTTTTGCTGGTAGTCAACCGCGCGTTCTTGAGGTTGATCATGTTGATTTCTTGAAACCTGTAAGTGTTAACTCATTTTCATCTCTCAAGATTCGAGTAGAACAACAATGGGATTAATTCTATAGATCAAACAAACCCAGTCAATCTCATGCCTGTTTCCGTGACTACTTGATTCCTTGCTTGTTTTACCATGAATTTGCCTAGACAATGTTTGGCGACCATAAGCTTATTTATTTAGCTTATTGAGCATGAAAAGACCCGTTTGGTTAATTGTATGCTATCTTTTTAAAACACTACTTCGAAATAGCATTTCAATAAGCTCCAAAGGCTTTTCTTTCACTTTTTTTCTTCCTACAACTGCCCTTACATTAACATTGTCATTTTAGGTTAGTTTACATCGTCATCTAGCTTATCAACTAGTTTCTTTTACCAAATATGACTGGTTTATCTGCTAGCTTATTAGACAATAACTAGTTATTTTCAACTGACAACTAATTTGCCTAGCATAGCCTTAGGGCCTATTATATGTTGCATGTAACATCTGATTTGTTGATACCAGGTGGATGTTGGAAACTTTTTGTGTTTGAAGTCATGTGTTTTATACACACAACTTGAGAACCCAATGGAACCTCTGATCAACGTGGAAGTTGTTGCTCATGTCACCCGACCTGAGCTCAGATCTGCAGAGGTAAGTAACGGGTTATTTACCTAACGCTAACCAGATAAGCGTCACCATCCTCATTTACTTTACCGGTAAGATTCTCGGCCATCAAAATGGCAATAGTAAGATTGTTGGTAAACATTAACCGGGTAAGAGTCATTATCTTCACTTACCGTTGGTCGTTGGCAATAGTAAGATTGTTGGTAAATGCTAAGTGGGCAAGAGTCATTATCTTCACTTAGCGGGTAAAATTCTTGGTCGTAGGCATGCTCACCCAGTAACGTGAGCGACTCGATAAGCACGTTCACGGTTAGCTTTTGGTAAATGTCCCCTAACCCTACACATTTGTTTATCTTATGGAAAGTGTCAAAATACACACATTGTCATATAGATACAATTGATCCATCCAAGCCATGGAAACAACCACTCTACTATTTGGGATGGAGGTCAGTTCTGCATAAATCTCACCCCTCATACAGTACTTTTGAGTGGGATTTATGGGGTCGGTTCAGTTTGGTTATACTGCTGTTCCAATCTGATTGAACACTCCAAATTTCCAACCTTCAAGTAAATGATTGATGATTTGTTGAAGGTATCAAACAAGTTCTACTTCACATTTACGACCTACTCAGATACGAAGAAAAACAAATGGAAGATCCGTAGCGTTGTTCCGGCGACAGAGGAGGAGGCACGTCGAGTGATTGAACGCATGGATTGCGAGAACTCTTAACCAATGTGCTTCATAATGCCAATTGAACATATATAATTGGAAATCAATCATGTAAATTTCATAGTTGGGTAGAGATTGTTGGAAAGCCATAATGGTGAATGACGGCATGTTTTATGAACCAACTAATATTTTCAAATAGGAGCAGTTTCGGTTATCCAAGGCGAAGACTTTGAAATGGCTTCTACATCCAAATTGCATGTAAAAACGAATGTCTTTCGGTTTATGATTTGTAATTTCAAAACCAACATTTTATGGTTTGTATTTAGTAGCAGCTGCTTGTTTACCTATTACTTACCATGCATCGTTGATTCAGTGAGCATGCATGGCTCATTCAACATGTTTACCTAGCTAGCTAGCTATGGATTGATGTGACTCAAGCAGGGCCGGTCTTAAGATTTTTTATGCCCCGTGCGAAAGTAATAAAAGATGCCCCTAAACCTATTTTTGTTAAACAACGAAACATGCGATTTTTTAAAGAGTTTAAAACCTATTCAAGTTAAGTATATCATTCCCATGTAGATTTTTATTGATTATAATAAAAAAAATACAATGGAGTGACATAAAAACCAAAACCCCGAATACATAATATAAAAAGATAAAAGGATAAATCTTAAATTAAGGTCGTGCTTCATTCTTTTCCAGTTTTTCTTTTTACAAATTGAAATTAGCAAAATAGAAACTTTATTTCAATATATGAGACTTAAAAGACAAGGAAAACTATAATTAGTTTTTACCTAAAATAGTAAATTACATCCAAATTACTATCGTAGTAAGCAAAGAGTAAAACTCAAAAGTTACAGGTTTAAAGACTAAAGACTAAGGGTTTATATGTTAGCAAGTTAATAAGTTTAATGGAATTAACAACTATTTCGCTCAACTATGCATGATTGTTTTGTAGTGGTTTAATGATATAGAAAGTGACTTATCCAGTAAGCTTCTAGGGGGTGTTTATATAAAAAGCTAAGTTTTTTTTTTTCCAAACATTTCCCTTACAACTAAAAAAATGCTCCTTACATCTGCAAAAACTCTCTCAAACAAAATCTTTCCAACTTATACAGACAAATTAATTCATCTAAACAACTTTATTCATACAGAGAACTTTATACAAACAAAAACTTTTCCAACTTTTTCCAACAATGTGCATTCAGTATTCATGACTAAGGCCTTCGACCTATTTTTATAGTTAAAACTCAGTTGTCAAATTCTCAAATTATTAAACCCAAAACTAGTAATAAATGACAACTCGATGCCCCTTTTGGGTTTGATGCCCTGTGCGGCCGCCACCACCGCCACCACCACCGCCACCGCCGCCGCCACCACCGCCGCCGCCGCCTCCACCACCATTATTATTTTCATGCTTTAAAAAATTTATAACCACCACCACCACCACCATTTTCATGCTTTAAAAAATTTATATATCTTATGGGACAATTTACTTGGAAAAACTAAAATGACTGAAATGGAAGGAAAGGGATTAAATAGGTGAAATCATTGTGGAATGTTCTAAAGTTTTAATTTAACATTGGTAATTTAGTAATTTGCCATTCTTGTCTCATCTCTCTGTTTTTTGTTACACCTCCTTTGATGGGAAGAAAATGCATTTTTGTATTGTCATGTCTCATCCTATTTCATGCACCAAACACACCCTTATTACAATATTAATATCTTTAATAGAGTCTTTGCTTAGTTGAATCATAAATCTCTGTATCACAAGGCTTTCTTTTAGGGCCAATGGCTCTAATTCATAGAAGCATTAACATAACTATTATCTCTCATTAGCCTCAAAGACCAAAGTTGAGCTAACCTTTCAAGATGTTCAAATTTTGATTCGTTGGTTACTTGTCATATGGAATCAAAGGGTTTCTTGACTATTTGTCTTTGCAGTAAAAATAACCTCTTTTACTAATATGATGTTAAGGTGAAAGAGGAGGATAATTATACTTGCCAATTGCTTTTGAGTTTCAATACAAAACAATGGGAAATTTTGTTTGTTAGAATGTTTTTGGAAGGAATGCAGTGAACTGGAATTGAATCCGAAGAAATTTGGTTGGTGAAAATTTGTCAATGAATTAGAATTCATCTATTTGGTTAAGAGAACTTAGCTTGGTTTGTAAAAGAATTTGGTGGAATTAGATTTGAAGGAATTGAAATGAAATCTCTCAAAAGAATTAGATGACAATAATGATGGATAGATCCAATGTTGAGCATACGGCGGCTCGTGCTACCGTATTTGTTATAACCGGGTTTTTCTGCGAACCTGGGTCAAGGTAACCTTATGTGTTTATTTTATGAATTATGTGATAGCATGCATAATTATGATAAAACTTGCATGGATTATGTGTATATATGTGGTAATTTGATATTATGCATACATATGGAAGCAGTATATAAATGTAGGCGGTTATGTGTTAGGAAAGTATTATATATATATATATATATATATATATATATATATATATATATATATATATATAAAACCCAATACTTCATGGTTAAGAAATGTTTGGTTTTAATATATTATCTTCCACCGCCTATGAATTTTATATTAAAAAGATTTCATCGCCTTGTTGAAAACACACACACATATATATATATATATATATATATATATATATATATATATATATATATATAAAGAAGAAAAAGATAAGATGCTATCATCATTTTTAGAAAAAGGAGTCTGTTTTGAGAAAGAAGAGTTTGAGGCGGTGAAGAACATTTCTTGAGGAAAATTGTTGTTTAAAGATTCTGCTAATTACTGCGTGGTAACCTACAGGATCTGTAATTTCAAGGTGAGTAATTATTAAACTTTTGATTATAACCGTAAGTTTGTAATCTGCTGTTTGATCCTATAATTTAGTAGTTACAGATGATTAAACAGTTTTGAGAGAAATGCTTTATGATTCAAAGGTTGGAACCTGTTTTGAAAAGATTAAACAGAAACTGTTCTTTAGAAACAGTTTCGAAATAATACCCCATTTGGGAAGAACTAGATGAGTTGAGCAATTATATCTAGAACAGAGTGTTCTTCTGATTTGAAAGATTTGAATATAAACCTATTTTGAGATTATGATTGGTTAAAAACTATAAACGAGGTTCACTATGACAGAAAGGTCTGCAGCCTGTCATTTGATGAAAATAATTCATATGAATTTCAGGGGAAATAAGGATGGTCGTTGTGTGTGATGGATAGCTATTGCTATAAACAAGGGATGTATGGATGTAATAAGAATGGTCGTTGTGTGTGTATGCATGGTATAACTCTTGCTATTATATCTATTAAGACTACAACAGATTGGAGTTCTCACTTCTTTGTGATTTGAGGATTCAAAGATGTTGTTCTTATTAGAAATAATAGTATTGATGTTATGGTTACGGGGAAAAATATGACCTATGGTCATTAATTTTGGATAAAAGTATTTTGGAACAGAATGTTCATTTTTATGAAGAACCAGAGGAGCTCTGGTTGGTCCTCACTATTGGACCAGAGGATTCTGGCTATTTGATTTAAGAAGTATGCTTGTTCTTAATAAATTAATTGTTCCAGAGGCTATGTATCCATTGATAAGAGCTTCTGTGTCAAAATTTGCATTTTAAGAAGATTTAAGAAAAAAGGGTTTATACTTAGTATTTTCTACTAAAAATAGACCAGAGGGGCTCTGGTCGACTTACACATTGAACCAGAGGCTCTGGTTGGTCATAACTTTTGAAACAGAAGCTCTGGTTAGTACAACCAGAGGCTCTGGTCGAGTAAGAACTCTGTATAGCTATTCTTTTTGTGAAAAATGGCATCTTATTGATTCAAAGCTTAATGAAAGAACATTCTAAGAAATTATATGGGTCTGAAGCTCTGGATAGTACAACCAGAGACTCTGATCGAGAAACCATAAGCTCGGGTAAAGGAACCAGAAGGGCTCTGGTCCTGTTTATTAAAATATGTTTCAAGTATGGTTTGGAACCAGAGGCCCGATGAACCAAAACAGAATATGACTTTCAGTCTTTGCTATATGAAATGAATTATTTTGAAATAAATGTTTTGGTGATCTTCACTCTGCATTACATAAAAAGGGAACCTCACTAGACATTCATGTCTAACCCTCGTTTTGTGTTTTTAAAAAATATATGTGCAGGTAATGATAATAAGGGAAAGGGCAATATGTGAATTACTTCCCTATGTGCTTAGCTGCATGAAGATCATGATTAGCCATGTTTTGGAGTATAGATGTTAAAATACAAAAGCATGTACTTTTGAAATTTTGAGTTGTGTATTTCACATTATAGACTCTTGCATTATGGAGCCTTGTGGGGAAAACATGTATTCTATGTATAAGATATGGGTTATATGCAATATATGGATTTGGGGGTGTTACAAATTGGTATCAAAGCCTGAGTTTAAGGGATTTAGGTATTCACATGCATGATGCCTAGGCTTAAACTGTTTCGTTGCATATTAGGGTCCCAGGCATAGTTAGCACCTTTGGAATAAGTATGATAAGTTAAGAGATCAGTGTGTAAAGTATTTTTGATTACATCTGGCCAATGTAATTTTGAATCTACAGGTACATAACTGAACTTGGAAACCTTATTATATTCGGGAATGTGAAAATATGTTTATTACCCGCCCCAACCCCACTAATGAAGAAGAGGATATTCTTGCTCCTATTGGTACCTCTGAGGGCAGAGGCGGAAGAAGAGGAAGGGGCAGAAGCAGAGGTCAAGATAGAAGGCAAACTAGAGGTAGAACTAGTCAACCAGAAAATAATGCAGATCAAGCAGAATCCAATTCTGAAAATATGAATCAAGAACATATACCACAACCAGAAATGTGACCAGAGATATGCTTGCTGAAGAAATGGGAAAACTAAGGGAAACCTTGACTTCCATTATGGGGATTCCTGCCAGAATCGAGACTGGCAGAGTTGAAATTAATCCATCAATTCCAGTTATCAATAATCGGGAAGGAGATATAAAGATGTTCTTAACCTGCAAACAACCAATTTTCTCGGGAGACAAAGATCCAGTTAAAGCCATGTGTTGGATCAAAGAGATAAGAGTCTGTATTCAACACTATTCGATGTGCATAATCAGATAAAGTCACATTTGCAGTTTCTGTTTTGAAGTCAAATGCTTTGTTTTGGTGGGAGGTAGAATCATTGGCCAAAACAGATATTTTGCAAACTATGACATGGGCAGAGTTTGTGAATAGATTCAAAGAACAATTCTATCCTAAAACAGCGGTTAGACAGATGGAAGAT